AAAAAAAGTACATTATGAGTGACTAATATTAATAACAATAATAATAAAGAAATATGCCTGTAAATATGATAAATAACAGTTGTCATAAATATATAAAACTATTACTAACCAGTCATATAAGTTACCACACTAAGCAATATCATTAATATATTTTTTGAATCCAAATCTTTTCTTTAGGTCGTGCCCAAAATTGGGGCTGTCTTTGGGCTCGGCGGCGCCTTTTACCCCACACAAACTTGAGTTACAAGTGAGGGAGAAGGGAGCAGGCTCCCGACATGAGGGTGGAGAGAGAAAGCCTAAAGGAGCCCCTTTTACATGCAAGGAATCCTCTTTTTATAGAAAGAAAAGAGGGGGGATGAGGTGGAGGTGGTCCGCTAGAGATGGTCAGGCAAGATTTACCACCATGGCTGACCCACTGGCGGGCCACCTCCTCCTCTAGCCTGCCATGCCATCCACTAGCAGACCGCCTCGCCACTCTGGGCGGCCACCATGGCTGACCAACTCTTAAAAATGGAAGATTTACCAAAACTAGAGAAGGTGGCCGCCAGTGGGCGGCTGACGGGCGGGCAAGGCGGCCAATCGGAGGGAGGTCGAAAAGTTTAACTAAAACCTGTTACTCGATAGGTGATTTTTTTTGTAAACTTGGTGCTTTTAAGGTGTTGACCAGCCATGGTCGCCGATTGGAGAGGCGAGGCAGCTGACCTGTGGGTGGCCGGCCGGCCGACAAGGGATGTGGTTGGCCAATTGGCAGCCGCCGAGCGAACAAGGTAGTAAGATTTGGGTGTTGCTTATGTAAATTACCTGTTTTTCAAGAGTTTGGCCGGCCATGATGGTTTGCCGGAGTGGCAAAGCAGCAGAACAGAGTGGGAGGCTGGCGGGCGAGTGTGAGGCTGGCGGGCGGGTGAGATGGCCAACCAAAGATCAATCGGCAAGATTTGGGTATTATGTAAATTTTCCTTATTACTTCTTACTTTATTTTGTTTTTTAAGAGGTGGTTGGCTGACTGTGGCCAGCTGAGCAATCCTTGGTATGGTCGGCCTAAGTGGCTAGCCCTGCAGGTCCGTGGTTGCTAGCGTGTCTCCGACGGGGGCGATCCTTTCGGCTCGGTAAGATCATATTTTTGGACTATACAATAGTTATTTCATTTTCATTATTGAAATTTTTGTCAAGGAAATGTCATATTATAATTGCATAAGCTTTGACACACTTAATTTCATTTGGTCTTTTTCAGAGCTGGTCGATCATAACAACGGCTGAAAAAAATGGTTTGTCAAACATCATGCTTTATGAACAATCCACAATACTAGTCGATCTGTTCTAATCTTAATATCAAAAGTTGTAAATTCAATCATTTTTCAATCAAAACTCATCACGTCAAAACAATTACTTTTCCTGTGTAAATAATCGATATTTCATTTCTATGAATGTTCCACATAACTGGAATTAACAAATAATTATTTTCATAAATTGTGCTCAATCAACTGAAATCAAGTATGCCCAATGTGTAAGAAACTGTGAAAAAAACATGCATAGCAAATACATTTACTTATAAATAAAAGCAAAAATTAGGCCTATAGATATTAGCTTCTTTTTTTCTAACTGTAAATCTCACATTAGTCATAAGGTCAGCCTTGTAAATCTCAAGCTTGCCTAATAACTTCATTTAATTAGATTAGGTTCTTCAATCAAATTTAATTTAACACCAAAAATACTTTCCATTGTTGATTTTACCTCAAGACTACTTCCTCACATTCAGGCCTAGCTTCCCTTCTATCTTCCATTCACCTTATTTCCTTTCTGAATCCCAACTGTCACAATTTGCTCTCTACCAAAAGAATCAGCTAGTTGAATTCACAGAAAAATGAAGGAAAACAAATAAATTAATTAGGATATGACAAATATATATTTTATGTACGTATCTAAATATAATTCTACATATATATTTAATTTAAGCCTCTAAAAATCTTCCTTATTACTTCATTTTCCACTAACACTTTCCAAACCGAGAGAAATCTAGCTCTCTGCTTCACCAGCCTTGCATAAGAAAACTATTGCACTTGTCTTGCGCCTTACCACAGCTTTACTCGTCAGCAGCAGCAGCCTTTTCCCAACTCGTTGAGATCACCTTCATGAATACTACTTTTCCATTCATTTAGTGTTATATTAAGTGCTAACTCTAGTTTGTCCAAATCTCTTTGTACACTTCTAAATTTATGCAAGAACATGACAAATCTACAATATAATATAAATGTCAGTGACTTGGAAGTTCTTTATACAATTTTATTTCATTATAAGAAATAATCAAAATTTCCATAAAAGAGCAATAATATCATGCCTTTAGGTTCAACTAAGTAGCATCACCATATAATCGCCCCTTGCATTCCCCAGCCTATCCACATTTCCACTATAAGAATAATCCATGCATGAAACTTTTCTTTTAAGCATTTAGAATATCTGCTAGCATAGGACCATTTAAATCTCATCTTCTATTTTAATTGTTGTTTAGTTTCCCTAGGACCTCTCTCTTTTTATGGGCTAGGTTCAGGTTTTTCAATGACATATCTGAAACTAATTCAGTACTAGATATAAAAGCAAGAACAAAGTCTTCAATCAAACATTAGAAAAATGCAAAGCAAAATGACAAGAGCTAATCATGGCTTTGTTGGAAAATAGATAAATGCTTTCATTCCATGTTTCACAAAAAAAATGAACCAACATTGATTGCTAATTCATACTGAATTTACAATGTAATTCCTTTAGCCTAAAAAGAAGAAACTCCATCTAGTTATAATTTCAGTACAGCCATGACTTCCTACCATGAATAACAGTCCATAATCAAGTAGTCCCACAAAGAGAATGATCATAACGAGCAGCTCCCCCTGCCAAAGCCAGATATGAACAAATAAATGAGGCCATAATAATAACCTACCGTGAAGTTAAAACCTAAAGCAATCGAGGCCATAATAATAACCTACCGTGAAGTTAAAACCTGAAGCAATCGTGAAGCTTCTGAAAAATAATCTGATGTTCAAAAAACTGCGGTGGCTATTACAAAAATAATCTGATGTTCAAAAAGCTGCGGTGGCTATTACAATGGTGGCTATTACAATTTTTGAAAAAGTCAGACCGCGGCTAGAAAACTGTCACTACACCCAGCCAGGACCGGTAAGAAAAAACAGATTTCAGTGGCAGCTTTTGAAAAAGCTGTCAAAACACAGTTTACCCAAATAGACAAAACCGCAGTGCGGTGCTGCACCACCACCGCATTGCCGCCCCAAACGGACCCTAAATGTCTACTGAGTAAAATTTAAACCCAAGCCTATAGCTCAATTCATTTCCATGCATAATAATACAATATCATTGACAAAAAACTTGGTCTTTCTATAGGTGAGAGTCTTTTCGTTAGCTCCTACACTCCATAGATGACCCTGCAAGTTAATCGTTCCATTCATAGATGCTGTCTCCCATACAAACTTAAACACCCCGAGAGCTCTGTAAAGTTGTTTGACACCATTTCTCACCATCTTCTCATCATCAGAAGTTAAGAATTTCCCAATTTTTAAAGTAAAATTGCCTCCAGCATCACAAACCCCTGCACAAACATCCACCTCTATATCTTGAACTATCCCATACAAATAATAGAGTAATAACGTAAAAAGACACTTGGAAGAATGGCCCAAGCTCTTAGTAAGTTTCTTTTGAAGAAGTGAATCATATCTTCTTGCCTCCTTGAAACTGATGTCTCTCTCAATCACTATATCCTTGATCTGATACAGCCCTTCTTTCATCACATTAACCTTTGCAAGGCTACATAAAAACCTCTCCTCCTGGCACATACACCGAGATATGTGCACAAACATTTCAAGAACTTCTTCCCATTTAAATGGAGTTTCTAGAACCTCAACCTTTTTCAGAGGTGGCAATCGCATCCATGCAGGAGACTCAGAATTTTTAAGGCTGGCGGTGTCCTCCAGAAATTTAAAGCAGCTCACCATAACCTGTCTTGCCATTTGAAATCCTGGAGAATTGAAACCAACATTGTCTATCTCATGCTTCAAGTCTTTAAGAACCTCTTCAAGTGCTCCTCTCCATATGTGATGCTGCGTGACCTGTGGGCAGACTTTCAGGCGAATGTCCTTCCTCTGCTGAGCTGAAATGCCAAGTAAATTGCAAATTTTAGTGAGAGAATCCAGTGTCAAGGCCCTCCATTCATTTATGCTGCTGAAACAACTACCAACTTGGAGCTGTGAACTTGTTGATGTTTTCTTGAGAGGAAGCTGTGAAGAGGGAACTCTTATAAGCGCTCTTGCAAGTGAATTGAAACTCTGCATTTGGTTAGTGATGTAGGCATCCTTGATGACGGAATCGTCATCAACATTGATTAAATTTCCATCAATGTGCTCAACATTCTTCAGCAAATAGCTTAGCTTGACAAGTTTTGCATAAGCAGCTCTATTCCATTCCTGCAGTGCCACTTCATCATCAAGCTCTGTGTTATGGAAATGGTAGGCTAGCTTCCAATGTCCATAAAGCACAATGTTAGTCCTTAAGAAGTTAAGTCGATTCCAGCCAGTATTTGACAACATACTGCTCCGGGTTATTTCTCCAAATTCTCATCTTTGAAACCTAAGACCATGCATAAAAAAGCTAATAATAAAACAAAGACAGAAGCTACATTGCACTGAACCAGTAGGGAAGATATTAAAACTACAAAAAGACATTCACATGTATAGTCAGAAGGCTAAAGAAAATAGCTAGCAGCAATGGAGATTATAGAATTATGACTCCAGGAAGGAAATTAAGTGAAGAAAATTGAAGCTTGAATCAATGAAAACCTAAATCATGCAAATGGAAATTAGGAGTTAGAATTTATTCAACAAGAAAAACACAACGCATCAGTAAATGCTTATTAGGGCTATTCGGTATAGCAGTATTTACGCGGGATTTAAGCTAAATCTTGCTAAACGGAAAAAACAAAAAACCCTCCCCTAAATCCTGAGCTCCCGTAAATCCCAAAATGGCGTCGATTCGCGATAATCATGGATTTACTAAATTCTTTAAATTGGCGGATTTGGTAAATCATGGACGAACAAAGAGGAAGAATGGCGCGAACAGGCTTACCTTCCT